TGCACTGTTGGCTTACCAAGCTACTCTCTTTCTATTGAAGTGAAATGCGCAGCTTGGGAAACACAATTCTCTTTTTTTTTTCTGACGAAAACATCATTCTGTTGGTTAATAGTAATCAGAAGTCATTGAAGTGTTTACTAGATGGCTAAGCAATGAGACTTACTAATAGCTCTTCCTTCAGAAAGGGTTATCAGCCTCTGCTTCACTTTCATGTTTTGTGTCTTTTATCTGAAAAGCACTTTTTAGGCCTACAATTCATGACAAACATAATGAAGGTCCATGCAGATTTCAGATTTCTAATCAACTCACTTAATTTGTCAATGAATGCCAACCTATCATATCTACTTAATGTATAGCATGCTTAAAATAAGCAGAACTGCAGTGTATATTAACACAAAGGGGGTATTTCACTGCCAACAAAAGACTGTTGTACACAAGTTTTTAACAATGTGTTACTGATTCCCAAATGGTGTGTTACTGATAGTAAAGCTAGCCTTTAAAATCGTCCCTAGAATGCATAAAGCACAGCACTCTTGCGTTTGTGAAGCATTACTTAACTGTTTGTCTTTTAGAAAACAAAGAATTCCAGACCAGGATTCAAAATATTTGGTAGCTAAAGCCCCTTGTTGCCGAGTTACTGGTAGCTAAATCATTTACCAAGAGGTGTACTACCAAAGAAGGAATTGCAGACATCCCAGTGCTGTAGAGATTCTGTAGTTATCGTAAAATCCGTATCGAACAGATTTGGGACGCATGTAGATGTCCTGCTTTTCCTTTGGAACTACCACATTGGTTGCTACTAAGAATCAAGCTTCAGCAATGTTTATAAAGGATATGAAGGGCTGCTGTCAAGTTTATTATATGCTGTTCAATTTTTGAATACTTCTATTTGAGCTGCTGACTGAACAGCCATGGAAAATATAGAGTTAAATTTTTAAAACAAAAACTGGACATTCATGTAATCTCTTTGAACACTTGTGAAACTAAACAGCATTAGTGCAGGATTATATTGGTAAAGGAAATATGGAAAATCTCCATATGGCAATTTCTACATGTTTTAAATGTGACCACTGCTTTCTATATATGCCATTCTTGCCAAATTATCATGTAGTTCTGCAATTAGTCTGAATTTCTGTAATACCACTGTGTATTGACAAATCCACACATCCTACATATCTGGTCAGAAGTACTGAAAGAGTAACATAGGTTGTAGTTTAAGAACACTTTTCGAGTGAGTATTCTTATAATTCTTCCCTTAGCAGTGAGGGTTTGAAATTCAAGATACTTTAGACACGAGCTTAAAAGTACAGTTTCAAACTTATTTAACAAGTAAATGCAGAATCCTTTGTTCATGTAGGAAATTTTCTGTTACTGATTTCAGACAGGGATGCTCACATAAGAAAAGTGAATAAAAGTAGTAGGACACAGGCGTGAGTAACTCGTTTGGGATCATTGCGAATAAGGAAAATGCTTAAACCAGACTCTTTCCACTCCGGGCAATTTAGCCAAGGGGCTAAACTGTCCTCTTTTAAAATACAAGAGCCACAAAAGACACAAGGATATGAAGGATTATGTCAGTGCAGTTCTGTCTGAAGTCCATACATTTTGGCGCGAAGCTTAGTTTTACTCTTGGCTGTGACTTGGAAGAAATTGCATAGTGCCTTAGCACCTGAGCTTCACTTTCTGTAAATGGAAAAATAGCTCTTTTTCTGCTGTGTACTGAGATGCATGATGCTAATGCTCATAGAACACAATGTTGTGCTAATGCTCACAGAACCATGTCAAAGTCTTACACAAAAACTAATATGAAAGTGCAATATATTATTTCAAGGAGAAAAGCTTTCAATAAATTATTCAATACAAATCTTATATTCAGACTATCCACCAACAAAAAATAATCAATATATTAATACTTACCATAACTACTCTTTATCATATTTTGACATCAGTACTGAATTTTTTTATGAAGCTATGGTAAGCCACACCATGCACTAAAACTTCTATCCCCAACACCTGCCCTTTTACAGTTAGTGTTCTTCTTGGGGTTTGTGGCTGACCAATAAATAAATAATTTAAAAAAAAAAAAAAAAAAGAACAAAAGATTGGAAAACTGGGAAAATTAATAGAAATGCAAACCAAGAATATTAAGCCGATATTAGAATTATCTTCAAAGCTTGCCTGTTGGTATTACTGGCCTTAAGCATACATTTGCAAGTTACATAAAGAAAAAAACCTCTCAAATGGCTGTTCCAAACCCTAATTGTTGTAACTTATCCATGCATTCCAGCAAAAATTTTCAGTGCTCTGCAGAACTGTTTGTTCACTTGCTGCAAACGATGTCACAAATCTTCACTGCAACAGCTAATATTTTACAATTGATCAAATAAACTGGGATATGTATTCTAAATATGTGACTTAATGAAAACAACTTAAAGATTTATGCTCCATTTAATGTACTTAGCTGAAGTCTCATGGGATTGCCAAAGGAGATAAAAACTGCAACATGGGTTAATGCTTAGTTATCTTTGGTTAACTTATATAGCTTAGTAATCAAAGGACATGAAAGGAAAACCTTTGATAAAAAATAGCCTATTTTAAAATTCCACAAAAGACAGCTGCCTTTAAATATAATACAATGTAAATTTTTATACTTCTAAACAAGAGCTCATAGTTAAACTTCATTTGCAATTTATAGACAAGAACAATATTCTTAGTTGCTTGGTATCCTATTAAATGTAGAAATCAGTTTGGGGAGAAAAATTAAGGATATGAAATAAGTAGTGATGATACATATACATATTTTCCTCTTCTTGTCTTTCACTGACTTTTGCATGACAACAGTGGAAAATAAGATTCTGCAGTGTAGAATGTTACTAAAGAAATAGAAACAGATAAATTATGAGTAAATAATCATCTAGCTCTCTGTCAAATTCCCAACATCTTGCAAACTTAAATAGAAGTAAAAAATGCCTTTGTGTAATCAGTCCACTGAAGAGCAGTGTTATTGATTTTTATAATTATACCCCTTCGTTGGTGAATATTACTGTTGATGTAAAATGTTCAAGTGGTGTAACACTGCTGTTACAGATGTTAAAACAAAAATTACTTCATAAATAAGAATTATGCAAGTCTATTCCTGTGCTCGAAAGCAAGATGCAAGCCCTCTCAGTATCTACAGCAGAACATCTACTCAAAATCTGCTTTAAATCTTCTCAAATAAAGTGTTTGTGTTCAACTCCTCAGAACATCCAAATGCACGTGTTCCTAATTACCAGTGACTGAGAGACTGTCTGAGATTGGACAGTGTAGATACTGAGCAACAGAGATTGGAAAGAAAGATTTCACTTGATGCCACTATGCAAAATATGGTGCGAATAAACACAGAGGATCAACCTTTAGAAGAACATTCCTTTCTTGAGCATTATATAACAGGAAGAAAATAACTAGTTGAGACAAGACACTTAAGGTCAGAATCTATCTGGTGTCTCTCTATTGCTTGTACATGTATACCTATGGATTCTACCCCATCTTCATTTTTGCATCTCACTTTCACAGAGATGGAAGGAGATTATTATTCTGTTATTAATCCACAGTTTATTTGCCCTCGTGTTTGTGAGGCTGAACTTGCTGGTTAATAGTAATATGTTACTCCGAATCATAATAGTGAGCACTGAAATCCAGAGTTTGCTGTCAAATACAGCTTTTGTCAGATTTGGGAAATCCAAGAGAAAAAAAGAACTTTGCAAGATCTGTAGGACTGAGTATCTTGCAATATTTATTGTGAAACTTCATAGCTGTGGTTATAAAAGAATGGAGTGGAAGAGAACATTTCTTCCTGTCTGTCCAAGCAGGCAAGGAGAGACGAGAGGGCGTGCTGAGAGGCTGTATCAGTAACACTAGGCTTCCCCCTTGATGACTTAATGTCAGCAGGGCTGGTCTTGTTGAAATTAATCCAGTCACAATAATGGCATTAAGACATGCATTTATACCTCTATTGACTTTTCACGTTCACAGGATAATTGTTGTAACATTTCCTTAAAGGCCAAAGACCTTTTGATGATAAATATATCTCATTACATGGAATTTTATATGTAATCATCACATGAATCTCAGTGTAATTCAATGGATGTATTTACCATATGTTAATCCTAGCATAACAAGCCTTTAACCTATGTGACTTAATTATAGGCATATCATCAGATTTACTGTATGAAAAAAAAGCTTTTTTTTTCACTCACATCTGCTTTTAAAAGTCCTCTCACTTTTTTTAACTCCTTTGTGAATTGCTTATCGAAGACTGCATCTTCTCTGCTCCTCACCTTGCTTGAATGTAAATCCAGGGATGTGTTATACCACTATTTGTGGTATCAGCTCAGCTGACGTGAAGACAGGTAGAACTAGAGAAGCTTCTGCACAGAATTTTGAATAAATCTAGACCTGCCAAAGGCCTGCCAATGTGTTCATTTGAAATACCTCCCAATTTGCCAATATTTAGTTGATCAATTCTGATGAGATTTTTCTGTCAGCAGTGAATGGCAAATACATTATCATTGTATATGAACATGACACACATGACAATGTTTAAAGCCTTCCTGAAAAAGAGAAATATTAATACCAAACTCTCTTAGTAGCCCAAATCTATGTATGGTTAGAAATAAACAGCAGGTACAAGGAAAAAGTGAAAGATCTGGATTTATTTAGATTAGAAAAACTCAATTGCAGGAGCCTTAATTGTGGATACATGTGGAAATATTCAAATGTTCTCCCTGACTTCTGTAAGGAGGATGAGATCACAGAATCATGGAATGGTTGAGATAGGAAGGGAACTCTAGAGGTTATCTGGTTCAACCTAGCTTCTCAAGCAGGGACATCTAGAGCCAGTTGTCCAGGACAACATGTAGGTGATTTTTTAATAACTCTAAGAAGGGAGATTCCAAAATCTCTCTGCACAACAACATCCTCACAGCAGAGTGTTTCCCTTTTTTCAGACAGACCTTTCTGTTTTTCATTTTGTGCCCATTGCCTCTTGTCCTGCCACCAGGCATTCCCGAAAAGAGCCTGGTTCCATCTTTGCACCCTCCTTTCAGGTATTTATATCCATGATGAAACTGCCTTAGTTTTCGTGGGGGAAAATAGGTTGTTGTCAGCAAAACCATTCAATAATCAGAATTGTGAAATACTGGGTTTTGATGGAAACCACATAACTAGAGGTTTTAAGAGCTGAGTATGAACTATCAGCTGGTACTTGTCTAGTCCCTGGTGACCTTCATTCTTTGAAAATGGTTATACTGCACAATCTCCTGAAGTGTCTTTCAGCCTCGCAGTTCAGCAATTCCATTACTTTCCTCTTTTTAGTTTCCCCATCCTATTTCTTTTGTCTAGTTTTAGAGCACTACTGTCACTTGAGCATAGACATACTTCTGGGAGCCAAAGGTTTTCTAAACTAGTTCTTGTACCATATGGCCTTTTAAAAATGTAAGCAGATTTTAGATATTTTTTCAAACATATACTTCAATATGGCAGAAAATAAACCCCATAAAAACAATGCTTCTTTCATGAAAATGCCTTATTCATATGATAGTATAGCAATATATTGAGAATAAATCCAATAAAATCTTAATTATATCAAGTTAAAGAACCACTGTGTACATAAGTTACATATACTCAAGTTCATAGTGCCAAATAGTGTTCAGTCACCAGGCTGTAAAGATCTACATGAAGTAATTTCTGGACCATCAGCGATTGTGTCCAAAATTTTATCAATTATAAGAGAGGTTCCAGAGGACTGAGAATGGCAAATATAGTAGCTCTTTTTAAAAAAAGCAGAAGCAGAAGAGCTTGGAATTATAGTCTAGTTAAAGACAGCCAGAAAGACACACCAACAAATTATTAAAGAATCCAGATAAAAGAACCAAAAAGATAAGAAGGTGAAAAGAAACAGCCAGCATAGATTTGTCAATAACAGATCACATCAATCTAATTTCTTTCTTTGACAGGATGACTGGATAACAGCCTAACAGAAGGCAGGAGGTTTGACAAATCCTGACTTCAGCAGGTCTTTCAACACAGTTCTGCACACTGTTCTTTATAAGCAAGAGAAATGTGGTCTGGAGGATTCAGTGAAAAATGTGTGACTAAGTAGTTGGAAAACAGCACGCAACATAATAATTAGTACAGGTTCTCTGTCAAACTGGAGGGTATTTCAAACAAAATCATGGAGGAGTCCCTACTGGTGCCTCTGTTCTAGCATGGTTTCCACTTACAACCTCAGTAGTGGGATGGAGGACACAGCTGCATTTTTTTATACATGGCATTTTTCCGAAGTGACACTGAACAAGAACTGCAAAGCATTTTGGCAGTTCAGTCAGAATACAAACCACTCCTCAAGTTCTGGAGAAAGCATTAACAAGTGAACATGAAAAGTAGTCAATATACCTGCAGAATACTAAACTTAGAGAAGTTATATGAGCAGATTTTTAAATAAAGAATGAATAGCAGGATTAATGTAAAACAAACAAACATAGCGGGCCATAAACTAAACTGTGTCTTGCTATTGTGAAAAAGTTTGGAGCTGAAGTGGAAGTCAGAAATGTTGTGTATAAGCTATTGGAGGTGGTGTTCTTGATGTTCTGTTCTCCTTGGGTATTGCTCAGACCTCAGCTGGAGTAATGTTTCCCATTTCGATCACCACACTTCAGAACAGATATAGACAATTTAGAGAGAATCCAGAGAAGAGCAACAGGAATGATAAGAGCTTTGGAAATGTGACCTGCAAGGAAAGGTTGAAGGAGTTGGATTTGTTTAGTCTAGAAAAGGGAAGACTGAAGGGAGGCACGATAATGTCTTCAAATATATAGAGCTTGTTAGAAAGAGTGCAGTGATCAATTATTCTTAGGGCCTGAGTGGGATTTGTACAAGAAGAAAGCCATATAATTTGCAGCATAGGAGATTCTGGTTACAAGGTTTCCAATTGAAAGGGCAGTTAAGGGTTGAAATAGTTCACTGAGGCCGATTGCAGATTTTTTTTCACTGAAGGTTTTTAAGAACAAGTGAGATATGTCATGTTTGTTTTATGTATAGTGAGGATAGGGAATGAATTATCCTATGTCTGTAGATACCTTCCAGCCCTATATATCTCTGATTCCCATGACAATGAAGCATTGATTCCACAAACACACAAAAGGATATTGTGGGATATATCTATAGACTGTTTCTTGACAGTCATTTGTATGACTGCATTGTGGACTGTACTGTGTGTTCCAGAAATTAAAGAGCTCAAATGTTCCCAGTAAAGATCTTTACTAAACTTGTTCTTCAAATAATAAATAATATGAGTTTACACACCTGGCTGGATAAAATGAGCAAAACTGAAATAAACACATTTCTCTTGAAAATATGAAATAATAAAATACCTTGTTTCTTAGAAGAAAAATGACTGCTTGTCAAACCGTAAACCAGTCAGTGGCTAAAATGAACAAAAAGACAATGCCCACTATGTTGGTAGCCTCATATCTCATTAAAGTGAATTAGACAGCCATAAAATTCTGTGATTTTGTAGCTGATAGCAATCACCACATAAACTGAGACCAATATCATGGTGTTTGATCAATAGAAGGAATTCACTACAGGATCTGAACCTTAGAGACTATCAACTGTTCTGCCTATGTCCAGATAAATATCTAAGCATAAACAAAGTCAGGGTGCTGTGAGCCAGGATGTGAACTAAGTACTGCTTTGCTCTAAGTATGCATAAGTGGGGAGGGTTGCATTATCACATGAAATTTGTTAATGACAATGAAAGCTGAACTGATCCCATGAGGATGTCAGTGGAAGAATAGCCCTGGTTTGGTAAATCAGCACACAGGGATACCAAGTACTCAACACTCATGAGTCAGGCCCCCAAACCATGAAATCAGCTTTAAAATATGGGCTTTATAGTGTTTTACAAGGTTTGTTTCATTTACTTTCTAGGTTTTGAGCCTGCAGTGTGACCAAGATCATATTTTCAGGCTTTTTTCAAGAACCACTTGATAGTCATGAGCTTTATAATTTTTGTAGGAAGGAGGAAAAGAAGTGAGGAAAAGAAGTAAGGAAAAATATACACTTGCAATCCAGTCTCTAATCACTACCAGTTCTTCTGATGGTTCACTCTTCTTCCAGATGTAGGTGAACTGCTTCACCTTGGTAAATACAGTGTGATAGCCTGGCTTGGAGTGCTAAAATACAGGCACCTATCCTGTTTCATTGTCAGTGCACTGCCTAGAAAAATTTTCATTCATGTTATGTAGTTTTATTTGTGACAACACCTGAACACAACTTAAGTGACAGCATAAGTCAAGAACCAGCCTCAGGAATAAAAAGAGAATCTGGAATTTTTAATAAGACCAATAGTGTTCTTTTTTCTAAGTTTTACTTCCATTTGCCTAAGAAACAGAAGAGCACACAATGTGTGTGCATCTCCAAACAAAGCTAAGTGACAAGTACCCTTCAAAATCCAGGTGCCCAATGCTTCATTTAAACTGCATGTAAATAAACAAGAAGGAAATCCTGCTACCATTAAAGTTCTCCTGGCAGTATTTAACCTATGGATTTTCACACTAAGCATTATTGGACAGGAGGATTAGTTAAAAAAGAAAGGAAAAAGTCCCTTTTGGCTTCTTCCATGCTACATTACGGTCTGTGTTGGAAGACAGGGCAAACGGGATGCCACAGCCTTCACAAAGAAAATAAAAATATAGAGTGAACAAATACAAAGGGAGAGAGATATATCACATATAACCATATACAGCATATTAGTAAATAATTTTTATGTATGTAGGTCTGAATAGGAATCCCATTTAGATATATATTCACATAGAGATATAGATACACACACACAAATATGGGATATATTTATACTCCACAGCTCCTTCCTTATCTCCAGAACACCTCTCTCAACAACAGCACGGTTGTAGCCTTTCTTGAAACCTGTTTGAACTTTCCCTTACTGTGAGGACACTGAATTAACTTTAAACTAACCTCTAATTTGGGATTTCATTTCATACAAAGCAAAGTCAAAAGCCAGCAGGTTAAGACTGGAGCACTAGAGAACGTGGCATCTCCGCTGATACAGTGGGTGGGGAGAGGAAGCTATTAACATGTCTGTAACACTTCGCTTTATACACAACTACCCTGCTTTTAACTCCAGCCTTGGTCGCTAAGGTCAGTCAAGACAGAGCTGACTAATAGTGTCGCTTTCCTACTGCCTTGCGGGCTCCCCCCTGCCGCAGCACGACAGCCCGGCGCTGGAGGGGGTGGTGTAACACCTACCCGGGGGCGGGGGGAGAAGAGCTGATCGTGGCTTTTCATTAAATGGTGGATGTTAGGGAAATCAGTGTCGTACCGACATAGCTATGGTGCTGTTGAAAAGAGAGCTACTTAGCCATTCATGAAACACTGTTATGTTAACACAGTAATGAATAGGACAAGGTCCCTCATTGTCAAGCAGGTGGTGGACTTTCACTCCGCATGAAGGGACCTGAGCGCCCAAAATTGCTCTAACCAAGTATAAAGAAACTCAAAAAACGTAGCTGTCAACTCATTATTTCAAGTTTAAAATAAAAGTGTATGTGATGAAATGCTCCAACAGAAATTGAATCTTCAGAAATTCCAGTTCACAAATGCATCCTCCAGACTGCTCTATGCAGTGGGCCATTCATATAAAGGTATAAGCTAGCGGAGCATGAAGCATTCATTCAATCACATCATTTTTGAATATGAAATAACAGCAGATTTCTTTTCAGAAAGTATTTTAAGCTTTCTACATAGCTGTGGTTGTATTTGTACCTGTCATTCACTAGAAAAATGAGGCCCAGTTCACTGATCACCAGCAAAGAACAGTGCAGAGGAGTGAGGGCTTCAAGCAATGCCTGTCCCCTTCACTTTTCCCCAGCTTCATAACTTTAATGCTCAGCACATCAATGTGGTCAAGGATCCAGAACTCCCTGTAGAAAACTTTCAACAGGGAGGAATTTCCCCCGTGAGGCTGAGTATTTTGGCCATAGGTACTGCAGTAAATGGAATACATGACTTGGAGAAATCTGGGCCAAATTTAGCACCATAGAACCGAGTCCATCTCTTAGCCTCAGGAAAATACCTAAACCAAGAAGCACTATCTTTCTTCTCCAGGAGAAGACCTTGTATTCTGATTCCACGAGGCAAAGCACTTTTTCACCACTCTTCTGCAGTACTTCAGATGTCAAGAATTGGAAGGTAAGCGGTGTTAATTTTATAGGTGATCTTTCTAATTCATATTATTGTAAATCCTTTCAAGATTTCAAGCAATTCAAGTCCAATTTTCTCTTCCTAATACAGTTTTTTTATCAAATACAGCGTTGGGTCATTTCCATTCATGGAGATCTGAATACAGTACCCTTAACTAAAGGGATAGAATACTTTATGTTAGATACACTTGATATAACTAAATTTGTTACTCATGCTCATAATGCAATTATTGGTGTAAAGGATAAAAAAATTAGAACCACGAGAAATTTTCTATAAAATATATCTGGGACTTCAATGGCATTCTGACACGGGAGAAGTGATGCACACTTACATAAAATATAACAATTACTGCAGAACCTCAGTATCTCTTTTTTAATTAATGATCTTTACTGGAAAATGAAACACATTTGCTTGTGGTATATGCTGGAGAAAGCTAAGACAATAGATTTATAGAATCAAATTACTCAAAACATGAAAAATACTTATAAAATGCAGAGAAAAAATTGACTAATAGAATATCTCAAAAATAATCCACCAGATCCAAAATGTTTCTCTTAGGCATTCTTCCTGAAGACAGAACTTTTTCTTCCATCTAGTATAGACTGCTGGTATTTTATTTTCTCTACAAAAATAGTGTAATATATAATAGAAATGGTAAAAAACATCACAATGACACTAAAAGAATTTCAGAGGTGTCACAGATTTCCCTGTGTAAAGAACTGCCTATACAAAACAGAGTATTAAACCAGAGGACTGAACCTCCCAACGAAGCATATTCTTTCCTGTGCAAAGGAACAGGTAATTTCTCTAATATACCCACATGGAGCAGATTTTCCAGTTCCTTACCTCTACAGTTTCCTAGCAATTCTGTTCCATTGGTGAACGAATAAAAAAAAGGGAAGGGATGTAACAACTATAGTGTTTGCTTAGTCTTTTTTAATTTGAAATTAATATTGAACAATTATTTCTAGATTTAAATTCAGACAAAAGACTTTCTACTTGTCCATAATATCAAATGATTCATTTTACTTTCTTTAACAAGACTACGGATTAGACAGATATTTGTTGAAGATGATGCACTGAGAAGCAATTACACATTCACTAAGGACTTCTTTTCAAAACATACAGGAAGAGGTGAAGCTTAGCGAGACATCTGAAACACTACATCCAGTTTTGATAACCCATTGTGAGGAGGACACCAACAGACTTGGACCAGTTCAGCTTAGGACCTCCAGCTGAACAGGCTGGAGCACTTGACCTGTAAGTAGAGGCTGGTGGAGCTGGGCTGCTCCAGCCTGGAGAAGGGACAATTTCAGGGATCTAAGACCATTCTGCCAGTACCTGTGGAGAGGCTGTGCGGTTTCCATCCTTTTTGTTCTACAAGAATAATCTGGATAAAGCCCTATATACCAATAACATAATACAGACAATATGATAGTTGTGTACCCAAACTATCATTGCTTATACTGATGATCATATTTTTTGTGAGTCTAATCAACAGGAACCTTAAGTCAGTGTAAGCCTAAGGAAATTTAAGCAAAAAGTTTGTCCCCCTTTCATTTACAGTCAATAAATAGTTACAGGCAATGTCAGAGTGATTCAGTGCAGTACTGTCTGACTTACCTCCTTGTTTCTCTCTGTGGCTAGAGAGAAGACAGTGTAACAGGGAGACTGATTAAATCATGAAAACTGATCTTCCTTAGTCTCCCACATTCCTCCCTCTATATCACGTATAGTCAACCAAGAGCAGGAGGATTCTGAGCTAGATGAACTTAAATTTTCTGGTGATACTTCCTTTTCTTTAAACCAGCAGTATTCTCAACACATAGCACACAGATCCTTGGGAGATGCTTCACTACTTCAGTGTAGCAGTGGGATTTGAAAAGCTTGGAAGGTCCTGCATAATGTGCCCTGTTGTGCTATTTAAAGAACACACTTACTTTTCCTTCCTAGACAGGAACTATTGAATTAGGCCCAAAGGCTCCTATTAGTGAGTCAGGTCTGTATATTCCATGTGTCTAGATTCACCAACAAGGGAGAGGAATCAGTCCTCAGTTTAAATGTATTAAGAATTTAATAATTTGTATAAATATAGAAAAATTAAATTTTCATTTTCTTTATGAATGTTTAATTTCTTGTGTTCTCTTTGATACTTACACTCTAGAAATCAATTAATGGGAAGAGTGTGTCAATTAATGGGAACTGCAGAATTAGTGCAATGGACATCTGAATTCACTTAAGTGGAGTCAGTTTGAGTTTACAGCTGTGAAGATTAGTACAAAATCTGGCCCATGTTTTCTTTTTCACTAGAAGTTTTCAGCTAAAGAATGACACCATCTTCATGACTTTAAATTGACATCTTTTCTTGCCTGCATCTCAGCAATACTGTACACAGTATTGGAGTCTGAGTATCAGGTGGGGTTCTTGCAGGAAATCAAAGCAGCACTTCTCACTACAGATCTGGGCTACTGATGTGAAGTGCAGAAACACAGGGTGCATACAATAAGAAACACCTGGGCTCCAAAAAGCCCCTGTCAGGGGATTTATCTTTCTAGTAAGCACTCCTTAAATGCCAGTTATTAAAATGAGAGAAATAAAAGGCCTTTTGTTCCTTCATAGGATTTTAAAAATAATGTTGATACTTGGTAAATCCTTTCAGTGATGGAAAAATTATTTTGAAAGCAATTGATTATATTTGGTCACTGTCTCAGAATGCCAAAAAAGGTAAATTTTTCCAACTGTAACATGCAAAAGCAAGCCAAAAAACCTAATTTGTTAAACATATTTTTAAACATGCCAGTAACATGAACTTGTTGTTTTTTTTCTACTGGTAAGAGAACAAGGAATTTCTACAATATGGATAAATTAAATGCTAACTATCAATAAATATAAGTCCCACAGGGAAACGACCAGATGAATATATTTATTTTTACAGGGCCAAGCTGCTATACATCTTAAATATTGCAAGCTTTATAAAATAAAATATTTACGGATAGTAATGGAGAGTTTTCTATACATAACTCTTCTAAAAACTTCAAACACATTTCAGAGTAGCTTGCATCAGCAGTGCACCCTTACTTAACTCCATAAATGTCTGTGTACACATGGGAATACATGTGTATATGCCACTGGCTTTTCAACCTATTTAGGTTTTCTGTTGGACCCTGCATTCAGGACTTCGTTCTGAGCATCCTATTGAGCTAAGGAAGATTCTTACTTATAAAGTGCCATAGATAAGATTATTTTTCAGTTCAGGTCTCTCTCCCACTCCTTGCTTCTTGGGCCAGCACATTTTTTATAACTTAGGTGTCAATAAGCACTCCACTGGGGCTTGCTTTGCTGAGAAATCAGAATTCAAAGCAAGAACAGGAGAAGGTGGGAAAAAAACCAGAAGGTCTGTAATGATGCAAGATATTGTACTACAAGAAAGCAACCCCTTTTTTCTCATTGTCACACACTATTTAGGTGGTCCTGTAGAACCTTAGCACTGTTTGTTGGTCATGGGTTAGCAAGGTGCATGTGGCTGAAGTAGAGGAAAACTGGGTAGGCAGGAAAATGAAAGGGTAGCATAGAAGTAAGAGTTTTGGTGCTGACAGTTGCCCTTGACTAGCTAAAATAGGCAATAAAGGGAAGATATATGGGATAATCTACTGCCACACAATCCCACACACATTAGTACAGTTATGATCAAGTTACAGCACACCTGTCATGCCTAGTCCTTTCTTTTCTGGTTTTCATGATAATGCATTACAAGACTCTGTGGTAATAGCTAAAAAATAGAAAGTAATTTTCTAAACCATTATGATTTTGAATACATTACTCCATCTCAAAATCATTCCAACATTACTGCAGAAATAAAGGAAAATGTGAATTTTAACTGCACACTGAATACAGGAATGGGGAAAAATAAAAATAAGGCAGCTGACCACTGTCATGAGTGTCACAGACAGAAACCCTTTCTCTTACCTTTTTTTGTTCTAATTTAGAAGTAATAGATTGTGGCTTAAATTTATTACTCAAATACTCAGATTATACCAGTGACATTTAAACAACATTTAGGCGTACACATATTGGGTACAGAATTATGTCCCAGATTTTTCCAGAATGACAGTAGACACTTCCTGGGCATGGGATTTAAAAAAATAATTAGAGGATATGTGAATCTATGCCTTACAAGTAGGCAAGTATATCATACAAAATATATGTGAGTCAGGATAAAAGGTCCTGTGAAATAGATTGCATTCTGGTATGGCAGTTCTGTGAATAACTATTTTGAAAGTTAGTTTAGAAAATAATTAAATGTAAAGTCATTTTAATATACAAATGTCTGACAGGAACTTGAAGTCCAACCCTTAACCCTGAAAAAAAAAGATAAAATAAATTTAGATTAAAAAAGGATTTGAATTTCTCTAAAACCCACAGAAAATGTTACCATTTAGTAATGACATTCCCTTTCCATTTGACCCCAGCTTGACATGCTGAATTGCTCTGAACATCCGCCACCATGTACAGAAAGTCTTACTTCTTAACTCTTGCTATTCTAATTTGCACACAAAAGTGCATTAAAAAGGATGTTAAGGCTGTGACATAGAACAATAAAAGCAGCAAATTCATAAGTAATTAGGAAATATACTATACAAAATGTTCTCCAGTGTAAAAGGGCATGCCATTACATCACAGGCAATAGAGTTCTATGAGGAAACAATAGAGTTTTCTGATATATAATGCCATGCTCCTGTTTTATGGGAAAAAAAAAAAAAGAGTGACTGCAGCTGGTAAAGAGAGACTAGAATATATATGCTTATAAAATATTGGGTAATTCAGAGTTGAAGTCAGCAGTATTCTTTCAGAGGTGTGGATATCCAAAGGACTGCCTAAAAAATATTTTAGACCTCTATTCTCCTATGTAAACCATATTTATGAAAGCATCAAAGGCACATTCACTTATCTCCTTTATCTTTCCTCATAGTTTGCTCCAAAACCCACTGAAATCAGGTGGAGAGAAATAGGGATCAAACAGTACAAAGGTGAGAGCTCTTTATTCTTCGTATGTGTGAGGTACTGTCTGATTTTTTCAAGGAAGGCTGAATGCACTAGACTGATGCAAACAAAGGCTTAAAAACCTACTTTAATCAGGTGAAGAGTTCCAATTTCCCACAGGTTTCAGGCACTGACAGAGTTAAGTGCTAACATGTTGGCAGAGGGATGGCTCAGGAAGTAAGGTGGAATTTGCTATTGGCCCACTAATGTCAGTGAGATGTAGAGCCACACCATAGGCCTCTGGGAGATGACATTGCAAGCTCTTTGGGAACATGCTATAAAGAAAGGGAGAGGGAATTGTTTTACATGTATGAAACACCCAGCTCAATTGTAAGTGCTAAATAATGTATCAGCACAGTTCACGGGCATATAAATTTTGCTGAAGGGGGAAGAAGTTGATAATAGATAATACTTTTGGTGTTATCTATCAAGAAGATATGAGGTCAAATTTCCTTGAACATTGTAAGAAATATTGTAAGGTAGCATTTTTTTGTTTATATCTCTAAGCCCCATTTTGCTAGTTCCTTTCCCCAGAGATCTTTCAGAGATATTTTCTCAATACCAAGCTGTCAGTGTTTCTGCAGAAGTAGCCCTGCCACTGTGTAAGACTCTCCAAGTCAGACCTGCCATAATTACAGTTTGTGTCTCCTCCAGAATCACCCATTTGTACTCCATTCACAATGGCGACTGAGTAAAGGGAGCAGTGACATGAATGATAACAAAACAGTGATAATTTTTTCTAACAGATTAGTTCAGTCTCTGAATCAGCACACAGACTATGAACAAGCAACCAAGAGCTTGTGAAGGGAAGGATATTACACACCCCACTTAGATGGGATTATGCCCCTGCAGAAATGGGCTTTGGGTCTCCTCCTTCTCTTTTCTTGCATTCAGACTGTTTCCTGATCTTCACAAAATTTTCAGTATATAAAAGCTAATGAAAAATTTTGTGCTTATACTTCATAAATACATTCTGGGTAGAAACACATTTCTAGTTGGAAGGCAGGATGCTAGTTATATAAAGGGGCTAAACTGTTAAATTTACTGCATGCCATTAAAGATGGTGGTTACACACTCCTTTTTCAGAGGAATCTGACTCAACCTAAAGGACAATTCTCAGCATTTCTTGATGGCATTTTGTGTTTTTTTATGGAACTTGAAGAACAATGGAAAACAGATAAATGAACAGGTCAATCATATGCTTATTCATACATGGTGTTCATTTCTTGTAAGTATTCAGATGATCACCTATTATTTGTAAAAATGTTTTCAGTTCTGAAATTATTGTACAAGCAGCAGTTGTCTGGAAATCAATATCCGAACTGAGATATTTTTTTTATTCACTATTTTTAAAATAACATTTTTCATTCACTCTTTTTCATGTATCATTTTTGTATTTTAGAAATGTCTTTCAACTAAAGAGCAGAAAAAGATCATATTTAATCAGATAAAAAATCTCAGTCCTTCTGCCAACTGCAAAAAACAGTCAGCTGCCTCAAAATGGAAGGAAGATACTCCTAATACTTTCAGTGGGATTTGGTGTCAGGGAGCAGCAAGTATGAAGGTGTTCCAAGAGGGAAGACAAGCCGAAAGATGATGACACCAGCAGAAGAAAAAGCAACGCCTTCACCAGTCAGACACAGAAAATTCTCTTAAGAGAATAATGGGGGTAAGGGAGAAATTTCCTCTCCAGATGTCAATAAAAGAAGTGGTTTACCCTTGCTGATTTTTCATGTCTTAAGTAGGTCTGCCAAGGTCCTTTGTAAATACTTTCTAACTGCCCTAAGTTTGAGAGTCAAGATTTCCTTTGCAGTCCCTTCACACTATAGACATTTGGATTTCTTCTTCCCAGTAGTCTCCCTAAATTACTTCTTAGCATTTTGACCGAATGCAGTAAAGCAGTAAAAGCTTAATTCACCCACAGGTAGTGAAATACACGTGCTTAGCCGTAGGAACACATTTCTTCATTTAATGCTTTTAGAATCTTTTCTCTATCCCAAGGCCCATATGCCTGTGTGCATTTCACTTATCACCCAGTTTGCTTTCTTCTAGCACTCCTACATCTCTTATAACCACAAGGTCTCTGATGCTATCGCTCTGATATATCTTGTTCTTTCACTGTAAGGTCTCTTGTTCTCTCACCCCTAAATATCTCTTGGTATAGCAGGTTTCTCCAAGTTTCACCCACTCCTTAAGTCTGTTGTTGTCTGTTGTCTGTTGTCTGTCGTGAACTGTTAATACAAGTGTGAAACAACTAGAAAATCATGTATTTTTTCTGAAAGATAAAGTAATTTTGTTAATTCTTTGCCCACATTTCTAACCTCTCTATGATCCTTTGTGTCATTTCTTGTTTCCTGCAGTATCTCTCATTCAGTTAGTACACAATAATACTGTTAACATTCTGGCTGCTGCTTCATCTCAAGATCATTAATTGCACTGTTAAAGCCTGGACCTACTATTTAAGAGTACCACTGCCCTCCACAGGAGAGAATGGCAGACATACTGGACTGTGTCCAAAATACCTTCTCTGTAAAGCCACACCTTATGGAGAGAGTCCTTATTCATGTCATCTGGCAGAAACCGTTGATTTCAGCGCAATCGTCTGGAAGGACAGAAAGGTGACAATGGTACATTCCATGTGTTGGTGAGATCACCCAGGGAATGAAGATTCTCAGAAACCCTGTCCATCTATTCTTTTTAGCCAGTGCCAACTGGCTGTTGTTTTCTTTTCTGCTTCTGGGTAAAACAAAACACATGAATACTTCCTCCTTAACTTTGCCACTTGATCAACAGCAGACAGAAAAGTTAATCCTTTGCTCTTCTTCTGAAAACCTGCATCGTGCAATTACCTTCTGTGAGTTGCCTCTCTGTCTCTGTTAATCCATATCTCCCAGAGCATATATTCCTTCTTCCTGTTAAATCCTTTCATTTTGGAACTGCCTCACTTGCGGAGATGCCTTACTCTCTAGTCAAAAGCACTTGAGTCTTAAAGCCAATGAAGTAATTTAGTGGATAATTTCTCCTGTAAATCCAGTGTAGTAATTATTGTACACTGAGAGATCTACACCTTCTTTCTCTCAGCTTTATCTTTACCACAGAGACTATGAAGTGTCCCAAAGTTCTATAAAACTCACTTTCATAGGATCAGTAGCTGCTACTGAACCAGATCAAACAGAAGAAGAAAGCTCTCAGTGCTTTCCTAGTGCCACACAGTCTACTGAACTGCATCCTTACTTTTCTGGTGTATGGTCCTGATTCACCACTACTCCCAGTCAATTATACTGCAGTATGGCAAATGCTGAATAACTAAATTTGAAAATAGTAAGTATGTTGCACAAGAGAACATTTCTTTGGATGCCTGAATGTTTTTCACTTTATCTAGAAGCTACTGATTAACGGCATTACAAAAGATCAGTTCCCAACACAGAGAATTAGGACTGGCCACATCACTCTCATTAACATTAACAGATGTGCTCATCTATAAACTCAGTCCTTTACCTTTACATGTACTGAAGTATTCTGAGATAAGACGATCACAGAGGGAAAGTGAGTAATATTCACTCCTTCACTTCTGGTTTACTCTAGATTCCACAACATCAGCAATAAGTTCTCTTTTTTTTGTTCCCCTATAAATAAACACGAGAATGGCCAGTTTTGCTACTCATTATTTATAAATAACAGTATGAAGTGTTATCTCAAAAGGAAATTTTGGTAGTGAAGTTGCATATCCTTTACAAGAGGGATTTATAATGGGAACACATATAGAAAGGAGCTATACCCTTGGTATTGTAATTAAGCTTTTAAAACATCCAATAATTTGGTGTTATTTGTTTTTCCTTTCTTTGATGAACTGATAAATGTCACTTGAATATTTGCATGAGCACTCAGTAGAGAGGCTGGTTTTCTTCAGAAGAAAATAGCACGCACACTTATTCCTCCTCTGCTGTATATAAATTCTAAATAGTACCTTGACAGAATTATAAAATAAAAAATGAATGTTTTTAAAGGCATTTGTGGAGTCTGGGGCATAAATGATAGAATTTTCTTATATTTCCCATATATGCAGATAACAGATACATTTAATGCAAGAAGGAAATAGAATTTTAATAGAATTTTTAACTAAAGATCTTGAAACAAAACTAGACATACATTTTAATTGAATTTCTGGCTCAAATTACAGCAAACCATTATAAATCATTAGGAATCAGTTTTAAAACTGCTTTCACTTTTACCCGTATTACAAACACAGAGGTAAGCTTTTACAGCTACAGATAAGTGTTAATAAATTACCCGAATTTCAAAATTAATGGCTGCCCGGCTGCTTTGGGGAGATATCATTGTGTTTCATGAATATTTTGATTTTGTGATTAGATCAAAATGCACTGAATTCCTAAACAGTCATAACTAAGGTCTGCTGATCATAAACTGTTCTTTTTTAATAAATTATATTCCTCACAAATCTGCTGATATGGAATAATTAGAAATTGGTTGCCTGCATTTACTGTAATATTTGCATGACTTTAGATCTCCACCTACTGATCTAGTGGCTGGCAGGAAATGTACATTTTGTACATTTCTAAATATACCTTGCCTGCAGAGATAATGGTTTATATTGTGATGTTAAGAAGGTTTTTATTTGCAAAAAACAAAGAGGTGTCACTTGCCAGTTCTGGAAGACATTGATTAGGCTGTTTATGTCATTCCTATTCAGAACTTATTATTTACAGCTTTCCTGTTTCCTTTCCTTTGTAGGAGATAATGATCTGTCTCCTGTAAACTGCTTAAAGTGTGTCTATTTTCTCTTTTTTTTTTTTTAGGGAGTCTTGAAATACATTTTATAAAAGGCAAGCATATTGAAATGGAATGTAAACGGTGTAAAATACAGCATATTAATCGAAAACCATATCTGTCTGTATAATCTTTAAATTAAGTGGTATACAAATATTTATAGTTAGGGAAAATGAAAATTGCAAATCCATTTTTCATTGTGGAAGGCACATGTATCTGAATGTGATCCTATGTATGTAAGACATATACACTCCACAATTAAACGCAGTTACATTTTGGGTACTATTCATTTTAACAGTACTGTACACGTGCATATCTGTTTTTTTGCTACAGATCTTTGAGGGAAGGGAGTGCACATTGCTATCTAGCATTCAGCTCTCAGAATGGCCTAAGCACACAGTGTCCCTATGGATGCTTTATAACCAGGTGCTTTATGGAATATTTCCAACTTAGAAAGGTGGCTTCACTTTTCTTGCCTATGCAGTAAAGATTTAATATATTTGTTAATGCTTACTGTATTAACATCATCAAATGTTAAAATCAATGCATCGAAGGGACAGGCTACAGCCTACTACATAACATACTTAGATGACAGAAGTATATTTGGCATATTCACAGGCTAAAAATAGAATAATACTTCATTTCAAAAAAAGCAAACAGAAATTTTTACCATTGCCGTGACTCTGTAATGTAAATGATAGATCAAGGAGAAAATACTGATGACAGGCAAGATCTTCAGCCAGTTCAAAAGACTTGTAATTTATTCTAATTTTTGAAGAAAAGTTGACCCTGCTGCCTATTTTCTCCCCACTGCTACCATAGTTGTTTCAGCAGCCCAGTGAACGGCTTCTTATTCCCACACTGCACAACTGGTCCTGTAAACTAGAAAATACGTGAAACAATCAAGGATGAAGCTGGTTTTGTGCTGTTTATTTTATGGGTATTTATCCCATTCTCCCTGGCAGTGTGACCTACTTGCATTAAAACTTAATACTGAGTTTCATTAGCAATGTATCCTATATCAATTTCAATTCAACCCAAATTAAATCTGTTTTCTTTGATAAGCTGAATAAAATCAGTGCTGTAGAACAACTCCAGTGCCTCCACTTTTTTAATCACATGTATTGATCGATGCTTCATCATTAGTCCTCAAAACTGCCACAGAAATACTAATCTCTGTAGAAAGTGCTTCTGCAATCGTGAAAAATCTGATAATTAGGCCAAACAGAGGTTGTGATAAAAAACACGATCATATGTGCCATGTCCTTTTTACCAGGAGTCTGGTTTCCATATTGGAAACCATGGCTGCAAGTCCATGGTTGAGAGCCTGGTGGAGTGCTGGCTCTACCTTAAGCACATTGCTTTTATAGTTCATGAGTAGCTTCTGGCCAGAAGCAAACCTATATGGCAGGGTATGTCATGTGGAGGGGCTTCCTCTGTCTACACAAGTGGGGCACATTGCCTAGGCAAGGGGGTATGTGACCCACGGCCATCAGAAACATAGGAAACAGAAAAGAAGGAAGATGCTCTCCTAGCACCAAACAAGGTACTTTAGGTGCCTAAACTGGAAATTTTTGGTTCAACAATGGTTTCTTTGGTAAAATTTTCTGACAGGAATTTGACTTGGGCTGCCTAAACTTTTCACTAAAGGAAACACTCTGTCTTCATTAGCTATATTGGAAGCTGAGAAAAACCAGCCTCCTGACTTCAGCATGAAAATTAGGCATCTAATTATACAAAGAACAAATAATTTTATAAAGACAGTACACAATGCAAATAATTAATAATTGATTTGATCTGGGGTGGTGCTTGTTTTGGTTTGTTTTTTTTTCTAAATTGTTAAATTACAATCCGCAAAATAATCTGGAAAATCAGACTGATATTGGAACAAATAAATCCTTATGTATCCTCCAGAACTCCCGACATTCAAGGAA